GTGTGTGTGTGTGTGTGTGTGTGTGTGTGTGTGTGTGTGTGTGTGTGTGTGTGCGTGCGTGTGTGTGTGTGTGTGTGCGCCATCAGATCTGCTTTACACAACTCCACAAAGGAATAGCATGACTGTGCTTGACTGTTGTGCCGGACACTCTTTCACACTCGAAGTAGGGCAGAGAAGGGGCAATGGGCTTCGAGGGGTTGCAGTGATGGGCAGCAACAGCGGTCTGGGCCGTTTGTTTGATGAAAGGTTCATTGGCCCGTTTGCATTACAGTTGCGCTCATTTGGCCCTTTCCCTTGCAGTAGCGACCTCCCAGATCAACCAGTGATCTGGGCCATTGGAAGTCCAGATCATGGGCCAATCATCAAAACCCCCGATCTAGGCCTTCCATGGAAGGAAACGGCCCAGGTAACAGGCCGATATTAATTTTCGGTGATAGGCATAGAATCTCAGCTATTCCTATTTGCAAACGGCAAATGGTCCAGACGGGGCCCTTACGTCATTTAGGGGCTTCTACAGTATCGTCTGTGGATGTAGAAACCAGCGGGAACATTGGCACGCCCAGCTGCTTTGCAGCGAAGTTATACGAGTGAAGTTGAGTGAACCCATCTGATTATCCAATCACTGCTACTCGTCTGCCACAGAACTGCCATTCCTTCAGCAGCTAGAAGCAAAGCTCTCCAATCTTTTTTTTGTATTATTATTAAGCTCTCCAAAATCACTGACGTTCGATAGCTAAATAGATAGCACGCAAATCACAATATCAGATCATTTATCACTCGCCGTGGAACTATTTCTAAGCTATACAGTCTTCGACCTTCTAAGGCTTCTACTCTTCTTGCGCTATACAGTCTTCGACCTTCTAAGGCTTCTACTCTTCTTGCCTTACAGAGAAACCCTAAACCCTAAATCGACGAACTAACTAAGGTCGGTCAAGTTTGTCGCTCATTCAACACCAGGACACGAAGTGGGCGCTCGAACTCCACAACTGCTTGCTGTGTCTGTATCAATCAACACCCTTTGTGGTGTCTGGGTTAGCGCGCAGTTTGGCACCGTAGCTCGACTTCCGGTTCATCCCCCATGGCCAGTTCTGGTTACCAAAAATGGCCCACTTGGAGCTTTCATTGATCCTCGGGGTTCGCTTAAGCAACCCCGAAATCTTACCCATTTAAAGTTTGAGAACAGGTCGAGGGTGTTTCACCCCCCGAAGCCTCTAATCCTTCGCTTTACCTGATAAAACTGTTTAACAGCTCAAGCTATCCTGAGGGAAACTTCGGAGAGAAAACCAGCTACTGGATGGTTCGATTAGTCTTTCGCCGCTACACCCAAGTCCGACAAACCATTTGCAAGTCAGTATTGCTGCGAGCATCCACCAGAGCTTCCTCTGGCCTCGCCCTGCTCAGGCATAGTTCACCATCTTTCGGGTCCCAACGGGCATGCTCACACTCAAACCTCTCACAGCAGATCGTGGTTGGCGGACGGTGCACCCGCAGAGGGTTCGCACTCAGGTTTCTTCCACCTTGTGGGCTAAGCACCCACCGGCTCGCATGCACATTGAACCCCTCGGTCCATGTTTCAAGACGGGCAAGATAGAGGAGTTTCACCAGCATCCCGAACACACAGGAACCCGAACAGGCCCGCCAAAAGAGGCGCGAGGACGGGCCTGCCAAAAGAGGCGCATGCTGAAGGTCCTCGACTGCCATGACACCCACCCGTGGGGGTTTCAATCCCTCCCAACTGCAATGCGACACCGGTCACAGCAGCACATGCTGGCAGGCACCCCACGTCCAACAAGGAGGGCGACAATGCAGGAGGCAGCACCTGCATTTTATTTGTACTTGAGCAGACGCTTTGCATATGATCTATGTGCTCAGCAGACGTTTTGCGTCTAATCAGATGCCAAGGATAGCAACAGCAGCTTCCACATCAGATACAGTTCCTCACGACATAATCTGATCCGTACTTTGGATGAGATTCCGGCTAATCCATCCAGTCTTCAAGTTTGCATACTGACGGTCAAGACATATTGCTCCGCTGCTGCGAGGGTGATGCTTCGCTGTTACGATAAAGAAAACGGGCACCTTCATCGGCATTTCCAAGAAGACTTCACAGCCCCCCTTCCCCCCATTAAAAAACAAAAGCCCCCCTTCCCCCCATTAAAAAAAAAAAAAAAGGGGGGGGGGGGGGGGGGGGGGGGGGGGGGGAGGGGAGCGAGGAAGACCCCCAACGAGGGACTCAACTTTGCTACATGAGCAACTGCCGACACCTCTCTGAAGCACCAGGCTGTGGAAGCCAAGTCAAAAACACAGCCCTCGGCTGGGTCTCTCAGATGCCCAGGGGTCAATGTCAGCATGTAGAAGAGAGAAGATCAGACAGAGATTGCAGAGTCAGGTGCTCCTCATGTGCTCCTGGTCACAGTCGGGAAGCTGAAACGCAGAGACTGTTTTTTTGCGCTGTTATTGCCCACGGAGTGACAGTACCCAAACCGACAACACGTGTGGGCTGGATACAAAGAATAGTTCCGATATAAAGTGGGTTGGGAAGTTCTCAGCCATTTGGAATTCATCAGGCTGGGAGATTCTTAGCATCCAGCTGCGTCCAGCTGCCCAGACTATTGCAGCCAGCCAAGGTCATTTCACCTCCTCACCGCCTCAGATGCTGTCCAGCTATACTCTGCACAACACTCCTATCCCTTGTTGCAACCAAAACGCCCCCAGGCTCTCCATATCCGGTATATGTCTCACCTAAATGCCAAATCGCCCAAATCGCCGGTCTACTCATTCTTCCACAACACAACGGCTGGCGATCTGATCGCACATTTAATACAGGCTTGCACATACAGCCTCACACGTTCTGGTTGCATGCTGCAGACAGCGTGAGAGTTTATTTCAGGAGTAGCTATACCTAAGAGGACCGTAGCCATAGCTGGTGGAACATGTCACTTTAGTTCAGGAGTAGCTCTACCTACTAGATGACCATAGCCATAGCTGGCGGAACATGCCATAGCTGATGTACCATAGCCATTGCTAAGAGGTTGTCACTAACGCGGAGAGGCAAACGGACAGCCAATGGGTACACTTCACGGAGGAGGGAGTGGCCAAAAACCGGACATGAGGCAGACTTACATAGAAGCTGGTAAGAGAGAGAGAGAGAGAGAGAGAGAGAGAGAGAGAAGCACTCAGAGACTGCAGGTGGTGACGCTGGAAACCAACTGCTCAGGACCTTCTCCTCACGCCTCGAGGTGTTTTTCTCTTCCTCTTTCCTTTGGAATATCATGATTGTCCTCAGCAGGATCTGAACTAGTGCCTCAGCGATCAAGACGTACTCTCAGATCAGGACTTTCTGGATGGAATTTCACCTTGTTCATAGCTGTTTGGATACAGTCGAAAACAGTTCCAGCGTTAGTAAGCCCTTAAGAGATTGTACCTTCCGTCTTAGAGGCAACCAAACGCAGTGCAATGGACCCATCGATTGATTGAGTGAGTGAGTGATTGGCTGATTAAGTCAGTGATTGACTGATCGATTGATTGACTGATTGATTGATTGACTTGAGTAATCCATTGATCTATTGATTGATTGATTGACTGACTGATTGATTGGTTGGTTGGTTGGTTGGTTGGTTGGTTGGTAGATTGGTAGATTGGTAGATTGATTGACCGACTGACTCGTTGACTGACTCATTGACTGATTGATAGATGACCGACTGACTGACTGACTCATTGACTGATTGATTGATTGATTGACTGATTGATTGATTGAACACCATCATGTAACCTTCCGAATCTCTCTTACATGGTTTCATTGGTTCGCCTTCTTCCAAATAAATTTCCGTTCCATTCGGTTATCACCACATGATGGACTGCATTCAATATATAAGGGCACGATCGCAAAAGGAAATTTGCAACGTGGTCGACAGATGATTACGGTCAGATAGATACATTCAGGAAGTCCTACTCCATATACTGCATGGGTCCAATGCTAGGGAGTGGGGTGTAGAATCAAGAAAGGTAAATGCATATCTGTACATACCTGGACACAATTAAACTTGTCGGCGTATTTATTCTCATGCTTGTCAGCATACAATGTGGGATAAGGAACATTATACCTGGAGACAAACGCAGCCACAGACTAAACTCAGTAAGATTTCTTCCTATTTTTCCTGGTTTTTTTTTTTCTTTTTTTTTGGTACCGTAGATCAGCATAACTAGTGGGCGTGCCAGGGCAGCATATACCTAGAAGGGGGTAGTGAGAATGATTACCAAGAGGACATTTATTACTACAAGTTTTTGTCTTATTCCCCCAGGCAAGCATAACTGGGGGGAACGAACACCAAGCATTCGTGCTCGCGATTTACAAAAAAAATGCTTTTGCAATCAAGAGTGGAGCTCTGTCCCAAAAAAAAAAAAAAAAAAAAAAAAAAATCCTCCCTCTTGCTAGCGCATTCCAAACAAAGAGCTCGACTTTTTTGCCACGTCCTGTGATATTGGATCGCTCGACTTTGTAGAAACTAAGAAACTGCTCGACTACAATTCTCAGCAGGGAACCCTATTTCCGTTGTACTACCACACACACACACACACACACACACACACACACACACACACACACACACAGACACACACACA